TTCCTAGCATGCATGGTTTGAAAGCCTAAACAATGCTCATTAGGCTTGCCTTAGGCTTCCAAACTTGCCATGCAAGTTCTTTCCTAGCATTGTTTCATGTCATCATTAGGCATTGTTTTATGTCCATTGAACAATATTCTACCATTAGGCATCATTGTTTATGCCATTCTAGCATTCATAGAAGAGCATGTTGTTTGCATGTTGTTACAGTGCATTGTATTTGCATTTTGTTGCATTGCATGTTGTTTGCATGTTGTTGCATTGCATTGTGTTTGCATGCCATTAGCATTGATAGGTTGATCATGTTGCATTGCATTGTGTTTGGATAGAGTGTTAATCCAAACACGAAAAACGAGGGGCATTTCATACTTGAAGTGATGAAACGTGCATCATTTCTCGGTCGTCGACCCTCTTGATCAAGCATGATAGAGGTTAAGGCCCTTATGTGTTATTTATGCATTCATTGACATTGAATTTAGCAAACTTGGCTTCTCAGTCATCGTGCGTTGCGATGCATGGTTGGTGGCCCGAGAGTTGAGAACTACACCCCCTTGAGCTTAAGAAATGATAGGGAGGGTGGTTGTGTACACATACCTTGCAAATTTATTGCTGTGCCCCTTCTTGTTCTCTGTTGCAGCAAATTGGAGCTTGGCAGGACTTTCTGGTCGGCACACCAAAAAAAGTAGCTGGCCAACCACTTTTTCTGGCCTGCAGCAAGTTTGGGTGGTCGGCAGGTGGTCTACACCACCATTAACTGGTCGGCAGCCTTCCTGGACGTCTCCATGATGGAGTAGAAGCTATCTAAAAGTTTTTGCAGTGTTCTGAGGTCAAATGCAAATAGAGGCAAGTTGGGGCATAGCGATGGATTTTCGAACGAGGCGACCGAGCATGCATGCACCCCTCGACCCGAGGACTTCTTCTTACTGCTTTACTTAGCTGCTTTGCTTAGTTAGCTAGTTTGATGGTTTTTAAGTAGTTAATGTACTTAGCTATTCAATTGCGTTGTAATAACTAATTAGTTAACTGGGATTAGTTAATTAGTTTCGTTTTGTAATGATTAGTTTAATTAGCTTAGATTAGCTAGTTAGCTCATTATTCGGACCCTCCGTCGAGAGGGCGAGCTGTTGTAATAAGTGTGCGTGTGTGCGTGCATGTCTTCCAACCCCACTTCTTTCTCCCTTTTACTTACTAGCTTTTGATGGTTAGTTTTAGAGCATGTTTCAATTAGCATACTTATGCTTCGCATGTTTGCATTCATTCATCTGTCTTGCATGCACCGGGCTCAGCGCATCATACTAACTGCATTATATTTCAATACCAATTTGAGTACATGTTATCTAGTTTCATTCACATGACATCTTAGAATAGCCGAGCCTATCTTAGTTGCATTTTGCATGTGTTGCATTAGGCATTCTTAACATAGCTAGGATCATGCATTGATTTCTAACATAGCTTTTGTTTTGGCTCAGAGTACTAGGTAATTTTTTACGCTTTAGCATCCTTGCATACATGTGAGTGTTGCCATGTTCAACATGCTTGCCATGAGGCTATGTGCTTAACTGCTATAACTGTTTGAATGCCTGTGGGTGAAGGTTTGATTGCCTGAATTGGAACAACTCGATAATTGTGAGTTTTAAGCCCACTTGAAGTGGCAAAATCATGTTTTTCTAAGCCCACTTAAGGGTGGCTAATCCGCGTCTTAGCCTACTTGCGAGTAGCACTTTCAAACCACTTTAAAAAACAAACATGAGTTGTTTTGTTCCAAACCGCGTGATTGAGTCTATACTTGTATGCTGTGCGCATCACATAGTAAGCAAGCTAATAAACCGGAATAAGAACACATGTGTTTTCAAAAACAACATATCGTGCTTAGTAGAGGCCGATCCTTTGATCGGGCGAGCGGGGGTGCTCATATCAGGACCTTCCCCTCTCGTACCCAAGTTCCCGAGCCGAGGCAACCTTGGTGATGACAGACACGTGGCCTTAGGAACGAGTCAGGGTTTCCTAAATTTTTCAAAAACAAAATATTTAGGTGGTGACTCTGAAATCTGGCAAAGCAGTCCATATTTGGCACTTTTTGATTAAAATCGATTTTTCAAAATGATTTGCCGGATTTGGACTCTTTGGTGATTTATCAGTCTTACATTGCACTTTGTGAGATTAGATTCAGAACCGTGACAAGAGTCCGAACTGTAGTAGTTAGAACTACAATTCGTGCCCTCACGCGCATAGCGGAGTTCGGGGCGGTCTACAGTTGGTCCTAGAATCAGTATGAGAGGCAATAATTATTTTCTTCAAGGGAAAACTTCACACAGTTAAAGCACATCAACCATAGTTAATTCGAGAGGTAAATTAGAATCTAACAAATGAAATTCGGAAAACTTAGTTCTATTGATAAGTACTGTTTCATTTGATTACATTCTCAATTTCATAGAAATATGGAATGGACAAAGTTACAAGGTCATGGAATTTAGTCCAACAAAATTCAATAAATGAATACTCTTTTCCTACTCTATCCTCTATTTTGTCTAGGTTTGGTTTATCTAATTGATAAGCCCTTAATTGAGAAGAGAGTTGTTGGGCCTTCACTTCAAATTCTATCTGTTTTAGGGCTTTATTTGTGGTATCCATCTCCTCTTCTTCATGCACTTCGTTCATTACAACATCCTCATCATGCTCAGAATCTTGGTTCTTGAAGGCCTCATATTCATCGAGGAGGTTCTCTGCCTTATACTGAACTTGAATTCGAGCAGAGAAGGCTTCATCCAGAACTTCACTGGTAATGGAAGCCTGGAAGTGCCAGTTGAGCAGGAGAGGAAGTTGGTCTAAAAAGGTATAAAGTTCTATTTGGGCCACGGGGTTGAGAAGATGACTTCGAGACATAATGTCACAAGCCCATAGAAAGTTTCTATGGGGAATGTCATCTTGAAGGACTTCAAAAGTTAAATGGGAGAAAGCAGCAAGTAAGGTCTGAGCCCTAAACTGCTGATAAGGAGTTAGAGGCACTAGGGCTTGGTAGGGGGTGAAGTATTGGTCCTCAGAGAGAGTAAGTCTCAATTCATCAATCCAATTTGGATTGGAAGGTAGAGGAGGAGTAGTCGGAGGTTCCCTGATCGAATCTAGGAACTCAGGTCTGGCCACACATTCTAGCCAATCGGAGGTATAAAGTTTTGCTTTTTTGGCTAAAAGCGCAGGACTAATCCCTAAAGCTTCACCAGGACGTTGGACACTTTGAACCATTCGAGATGGCAAGGTAGAAGTATACCATGATGAAAGCAAATTGTCTTCAAGACTATGTATGCGATCGATAGGAACATATGGATATACTACAGAACTACGTCTGGAATGAGGGATTTCAAAAGGGTCATCAAATTCTAGGAATCGGTGATGAATGCATTCCCTCGTCTGAGATTGAGTAGGGGTAGGCCAAGTTCCCCAGCTAGAGGTCGTAGAACAAGAAGAAGCAGCAGCTTCATCCCACGCGGAAGGTTTTGCTGCAGAAAAAGAGCTTCCGATATCCATGATTGCAAATTTGTGTTCCAAAGAATCGTAAGCAGAAGGTTCTTGGTTCGAAGGTCGGTGATTTGCGAAAGCTTCCATAACTTGTATAAATGGGGGTGGATAAAGATAAATCAATGCATGAAGGTTCTTTCGAGGACGAACAACATCATCAAATAACTCTTCGTATGCTTGATCAATGTAAGAGAAGATTGGCTTGGCCATAAAAGATGTATCAATTTTTTCAAATGCTGAGATAGTGGGGATGTTCAAAGGATTAGAAGAGAATTTAACGTAAATGATGAATGACGGTTGCATTTATGGAAAATGAAAAGCCCATGCACGTTCCAAGACGTGGATAAAATACCTTGATCCACTAATATCACCAAGTATTGGGTATATTAGTGCGGGGGGTAATGTTGGCTTCATATTTTGTATAAGCCAATTACAGTTCGACACGTAGCTGGATAAGGGCAATACGGGAAGACAATTCAAATCTTCAATCATAATCACACACGTGGCAGTTAGTATTGGTTTTTGTAGATCTGCATAGCACTAGATCAACAAAGAGATGCAAGATGGCGTGGCTTCAACAGTTACTCATATTTAAATTCAAAATCAGGAAGAAAGCCTAACTACAGATATGGCGTAGTGGAGCTAACTATAAGGCAACATGATCGGCGACCATGGAAGGATGGTTCGACGGTTGTCATTGAGAAGTATAAATAGCAGAGAAGACCTCAGAAAGTGCCTCCAGACTCAAATCCAAAAAACTAGTTTTATCTACTTTATTTCCTTTCCAGTTTTTACATTTCTTGTTTTTTACATTTCTGTACTTCAAATTCCTGCATTGCATTTCATTCATAGGAATAGTTTCGAGTAGTTTGTTGGTGTAAATCTCTACGAGACTGATTTGGATCTTTGTAAGTCTTCCATTTTACTTAATGAAATGTTGCAATTGTTCTTCATATAAATCGTTGTTTGCTCAATTCTCCTAAACAAAGCCACTAGTAAAAGTCCTCTTCATTGAGGTTGAAAGAACTAAAACACAATCGTCTGATAATTGGTTGGCAATTAATATTCTGCAATAACTGATTGATCCTTGCTGGCACGCTCAAAATTACAATAATAACTTTCGAAAGTCAAAAAAGCCAACACATATACATGAAAAGTAGCGAGAAATAGTATGTAAGAAAGCAAAAGGATAATATAACACCTAAAATATACCTAGAAGGTAGCATGGCAAGAGAAAATATCAAGCATGTTTATCAAACCTTCATTGGAAAAGGGCTCTCTTTGTTTAATATGTAACTAGTAAGCAAAAAGGACACTAACCATCTATTTGTCAAAACACTCCATTGTGTATCAAAACCTAAGATACTATTCACTAGTGTCAAAGACAGAGACTAGGATTACTAATCTATTCAGAGAAGAGATAGTCAGATTATGCAGCTTACTGCTACCATTACTTACATGTCTATGGCCCAAAAACTAGATTGATCCTAATTCCGAAGTAGGAGCTCCAACAGGCTACCAATATAAGAAGCTGCAAAAAGAAAATTCCTCTTCAAGACTATTTCGAGTGTGCTCTCATCTACTTCTTCCTCATTTGTAACTTTAGGCAAAATAGGATCAATGTTCACTTGCCCTTGCAAGTCCCCATTTGATCTATCGAGCAAAACAAGGCTCTCCACATAAGGAGTGGCATAAAATGAGCCTTTGACACCATGCAAACCATGTTTCTCAATGCGCTTGCTCTCAAGCTGATACGAAACCATATCTCCACCTCTAGTGCCCATAAGCAATTCGCCACTCTCCCTAAAACCAAACACCAGCATTAAGTCAACATTATATTGCTTCGTCCACGACTCCACAACACCATAGTCTTTCATCACCCATATGGAAACACATTTACGGTTTGCACTATTATCAATAAAACTCACCGCGATCATAGTCCCTACTAAATGAACTCCCAATTACAACGGGAAAGTAGGAGCCACTGTTTCCGGGAGCTCAATCTTATGGAACAATTCATCACCAAAACAAACCAAACACCAGCATTAAGTCAACATTATATTGCTTCGTCCAGGACTCCACAACACCATAGTCTTTCATCACCCATATGGAAACACATTTACGGTTTGCACTATTATCAATAAAACTCACCGCGATCATAGTCCCTACTAAATGAACTCCCAATTGCAACGGGAAAGTAGGAGCCACTATTTCCGGGAGCTCAATCTTATGGAACAATTCATCACCAAAACCAAATGATCACATTATGGAATTTACAATCCCCAACTCGCTTGTATGCAATCTAATGTGCAAAACCATTCAGAAAAACATGTTCCCAGAAATTCTCAACCATATTATATGAAGGATCACGACAAGTCAGGGCTTTCCAAGAACCGATTTTAAGCGAGTAAACCTTAACTTTAGGAAGAGGAATTGCATTTTTTCGCCTCTCAAAGTGAGAAATTCTAACTACCTTATAGTCATTGGTTCGCAAATCGAAGCCAAATAGAACAGACATGTAAGGACTATAGGAATCGAGAGAAAGACTGGGTTTTGGAAGGGCCACATACCTTCGAATCATAGGGTTCCAAAGGATTATATTTTGTTTGTCACCAAACCGATCGTCGGAGAGACAAACCAAGCCATTACAAGTACCAACAACCCTGAAATAGAAGTGGGTTTTGAATGGAGAAGTGAATTGGGCGTAGTGGTTGAAGGTTTTGTTATCGAAACGCAATGAGTAGTGTTCTTGATTGGGATTGAGACAAGTGTATTTGAGTAGAAGCAAGTGAGTAAGAGTGTTGTTGGTGGACTTGTTGAGGTGGGTATTGATAAAACTAGGACTGGTGATGAGAGATCGCCATGGTTTCGACACACAAGTGAATCGAAGCAGAGATTCTACAGGTAATCTGGAGAGAATTTCGATCAATACCTCTTCGGGAAAGTAGTCCGACATTGTTGAGGCTATCAGAATGAGAGTGTCTTTGCTTTGACTTCGCCTTTTATTTACCCTGATCATTATTTTATTTATTTATTTATTATTATTATTATTATTATTATTATTATTATTATTATTATTATTATTATTATGGAGTTGGTTATAATTCTTTTATCATCAGATTATTTAGTATAGTTTTTTATTAGAGAAAATTGTTAAAAAATCTAATCTAAATTTAGTAGATATTCTTTATTGGTGAAAAGTCTACTATTTGTGAAATAATTTAGTGATAGATCATTTTGTTAGTTTTGGAGGACATTTTGTTTTTAATTTTACCCATTAATTTATCTATTGGCTTACGTTAAATATCTGTTCAAATTTTTTTCTATATGTTCAATTTTTTTTTTCCCTTATCTGTCCAAATTTTATTATCTTTTTAATTTTTTCACTTATTTGTTTAATTCTTTATCTGTTTAATTTTTTTTTATATATATTTAACTTTTTTATCTATTCAAATTTTTAACATATTTTATTATTATCTGTTCAAATCTTTCTGTTCAATACAAAAATAAAACAAAAACAAAAAATTATTTGTTTGATTTTGATCATCATAGTCATAGTCATAGTCTTCGTCATCAATTATCATCGATAGCAAAACCACCCCAAACCCCCCCACCCCGCCCCCCCCTATTTGTTACAATACCAAGCCAATCCAACCCCTACTTGTTCAATTGTTCTCTATCTATTAAAATCTCTTTTCTCTTTTTTTCTCTCTCTCTCTCTTACAATTTATTTCATCATCATCTTTATCAATAACTACACAAAAAAATAAATAAATAAAAATTGAATATATGTTCAATGGTATTACAGATTTGTTTCATCATCACCGACAACATTCATCAACAACAACAATAACAAAACATCAACTAAAAAAAAAACTTGTAGAGAGAGAGAGAGAGAGAGAAAGAATGCCAATGGCTTTACTCTGCTTTTTGACGACTTCTTCACTTTCCCCTAGTATTCAACACGTCTGACCACTGTACTAATAGTTCGCCGGCGGATACAACCAACGAGCTGACGAAGGAGAGCCAGTTGGCGGCATTAGCTGAGATAGAGGTGAGCTTAGAGGTGAGCATGAAGATACTGTCAAAGCTGGAATGTAGATCTACAAAGCAGAAGTACAGATCTGGAGATGCTGTTCTAAGTGAAGTTAAGGCTGACGATCCGATGCCGAGACGCCGATGACGGCGGCGAAGCCAAAGAAGGCACAAAGGACGACGAAGAAGGATGTCTTCAGTGGTTGTGGTGGTCGTTGAAGCCACTGTCGTTAGCTGCAATAACGTCGAACTCTCTGATTCGGCGAAGCCAAGGCAGCGGTGGTTCAGATAGGCGTAGAGGTGAAGCCGAGAGAGGAAAGAGGCAAGAGGAGAGAGAAAGATAAGGAATGAGGAAGAGAGGCAGGTTTGAGGTAGAATAACAGGCGTGACTTTAAATATACAGGTAGGTAGTTTAGTAATCTTGTCCTTATAATAGTGTTTTAGGGCTTGAATTTTTGAGCAAATAAGATTTAAAAATGAATTTATGGCGTGAGTGTGCTTTTTATTACTCTTTATCAACCAAAATATTTTAAAATAAATTTTAAAAAATTAATCATTCAAAAGCTAGGAAAAATTCACTTTTATATCAACCAAAATATTTTAAAATAAATTTTAAAAAATTAATCATTCAAAAGCTAGGAAAAATTCACTTTTAGTTTCTACTTTTTTATTCGAGTAAATTATAAATATATTTTTTGAAATTTGTGTAAAATATAAACTACCTTCTATAATTTTAAAAAATACATTCTACCTTTTAAAGTTCTAATTTCTTATCAAATGATCATTTTTATTAATAAATAAATCATCAAATAAACTAATAATTTTTAAGAATGTCTAAAATATATTTTAATTAATAATTCAATATATATTTCTTAAAATTTATTTTACATTTTTTACATATTGATTTTTAATAAAAATAATTAAAACAAAATTGAATATATAGTATATATATACTTATCATATCATCAACAATTATATTGATGGCTTAGTGATTGAAGTGTTTACTTCTTATGTGATTGATTCCATGTTTAAACCTCTCCACAACTTATTTTTGTCTAGCAATAGAGGAATCAATCACCAGTAATATTACATAAACGCAACACTCCTGAAAAATAATATTGCATATTGCAGGACTTGAAAGGAGAATACCATGAAAAATAATTTAACATGCCAAAATCCAATTTAGAACCAACAAGTGTGTTCGGCTTGGATTGGCCTAATCCAAGTTAAACACGTTTGCCAATTTCTCCTAAAAAAATCATTGCTTCATTTTCGTACCAAAGAAAATCCTTTGTAGATACAAAATAGAAACACTTTCAGTCCTAGAATGTAAAGGAAAGCACATCAATTGAGGCCAAAAAAATATATAGTGGACAGCAAAATGAAGGTAGAATCAGAGTAGGGCACAACACTCACTAATCACAGAAAGCATCTTTGATAAAGATTAGGATATGGGACAGAGCACATGATGTTGTAGTGTCTATGTTCTTCCATCATCATCTCTTGTAAGCGCTGTGATTTGCCGATTTGTATTTGAATAACAAATCTCAACAGGAAATAACAAAGTTAACCTGCTGAAATTAGAGGTGCATTCATGGAAAATCAGCAATTTAGGAGCTTGCACTTCCGGTTGTAGCGTGCAACCAAAAAGATATCTTCAGATAATGCAATTTCACAACTTTGTATTAGGCTTTCATCAACAGATCTGTAATTATAACCAGAAAAAAAAAATTAAAAAAAATAAATCATTATCCACACTCCCAAATGTTTCCGGGGTACAGTTCTAACAAAAAAGATCACAATTTTTCACATTGAAGAAACAGGACAAATGATTGCAATTCCTAAAGTTATGAGATTTTAAGCAACTTTCGAATTTCAACTAGTGGTTTCTATTTCAATGAATTGAGTTTGCAGAAAGGACCAATTTTTACAGAGAAGAAAAAAAAACAGAGCATCGTAATCTCAGCTATGGTATTCATTAATGGAAAAGAGACGACATACTAGACAGCAACTCTCATCTACCCCTTTTCTTCTACATATATCTTCTGTGGGGACATGTTTTGTGAATGATAACACATGGTAGAGGTGACGCCGGCGTGTCATCCGGAGAGCCACGTGGCATGGTTATGTGTCGAGATGATCTCGGCTAGGCTGAGGTTATCTGCGGAGATATCGGAATCCGAGATGATCGGATAGGGGACAAGAGTCCTAAAATGGGGGAGGATCTCAGTTTAAATAAAGATAAAGCTCTTAGGGAGTTTATCCCTATCTAGCTGAGGGTCCAGGATAGGCATTGAGCCTGAGTTCATTGAAGCTAGGCTTCCACAGGGATCAAGTTAGTGCTGGTTATAAAAGTAAGGTACCCTCGTGGGTCTAAGGTATGCTTTTTGTATTCTGGCTAGTGAGTTAAGCTCTATTTGTTATCTTTAAGAGATAATTGAGTACTGACTTGATCGTCGGAGTGCTCCCGGGTATACGAACCACCACCGGAATCTTATCTTTCTATAACAAGTTGTTCGAGCGTTATCTATTCTGTCTGTGCTCTCCTGTTGAGTTCCTGTTTGGCAGTGTGGTCGGAAATCAGCATCCACAATTTGGCACCGTCTGTGGGAAAGTAAGGAGAATAGATGGCCAACGTTGGACAGAAAGAAAAGATTGGGGGCGACAACCCTAGTAGGAGCGGTAAAAGCACATATCTTAACGTTAAGGAAGACAATTGTAATGAAGAACCTCGGGATAAGAATCCCGAAGAAAAAGACGTCGGCCATGAGGGAGACACCCCGAAGAAAGCATGTCGAGATGGGTATTACAGCGAAAGCGACCTCCAGGTATGGAATGATAGATGCCTGAGAAGGGACGGCGAGATGGAGGGAATGACAAACAAATTGGCAGACCTACAATCGGTTATCAACTTCATGATGCAGAACAACGTCATACAGCCACCGTATCCATTGGAGAACACACCGATTTCAGCGACCAAGAATGATGGCCGGAAAGTTGGGCATAAAGAAATCCTTGCAGTCCCTTAGCATAACAGGGCAAAAGAGCAATCGCATCAGCCTTCACGGGAGGTCGGGCGAGGAGAGTCGAGGAGAGGAGAGTCTTAGAAGACACTTCATGCCAAGAAACTTATGTCAAGGAACATTGGCATGTTCAAAGGAAAGAGCTTTGTTTTGGCATGATAAATGAAGGGTGATCCAAGAGGACTCATAATGACACCGGGAGCAGTGCACCAAAAAGGTTGAAATCCGTTGACAGTCGAGCTCCTGGTCGGACTGAGGAGGGTCTGAAGGACTACCTCCAGAGGAAAAGGTAAAATGCCGAGGTCACATCTCCCGTGAAACCGAAGACACCGTTCTTAGTAAAGTTGGACAGGTTCGAGGCCCCAAAAAGGTTCCATACGCCGAGGCTCCAGATATATGATGGTAAGTCCGACCATAACTCTCACGTCGGCTTGTACCTGAATTCAATGGCGTTGTACACCAGGAATGAAACTTTGCCGTCCAAGGTATTCCCCTCATCTTTTAGGAAAATCGCATTAGACTGTTTCACAAGTTTTCGAAAGGAACTGTGAAGAGTTTGGAAGGCTTGGCCGAGATGTTCATGGCCAGATTTGTCAGAAACAAATTGTAGCCATTAAGGGTAGACTCCCTGATGGCTTTGAAGATTGGCGAGGGTGAAAGCCTTAGGGCTTATGCCAAAAGGTACTATGAGGTGTTCAACCAAATACCAGGATGAAACTGGGAATTGGTGGTCGTGTCTTTTAAGAATAGCCTGGAGGATGATTGCATGTTACGGAAGTCATTGGTGAAGACTCTACCAAAGAGTATGGAGGAGCTCATGGCAAGGATCGAAAAATACGCCAGAGCGGAGGAGGATACGCTAGGAGCAAATGTGTCGAGGCAAGAGAAGAGAAACGGCTCATCGAAGTGAAGCCAAGGTAATGTTGGATTTAATAGGCAAGAAACAAGGCAGAGAGCTGCACAGGCAATCACCACTGTGTTCCAGATCCCGGTTTACAAAGTTCTGGAGAGGATTAGGAGCCAACCGTATTACAGAGCACTAGAGAAGGTTCCTAGCGAATTTATGGGAAGAAGCCTTGGAAAGCACTGTGCTTACCACAACGAAGATAGGCACCTGACAGAGGGCTGTAGAGCCCTAAAAGCACATTTGGAAGATCTGGTAAGACAAGGTCACTTAAGGGACCTAGTGGATAAGGCCAAAACAAGGGAAGAGCAAGCAAGGTTACCCCAGGCGCCGGCAACACCACCTCTACCAGCACCGCAGTCGCAACCGCAAGTAGATGGACATCGAATGATCAATGTGATCCACTCGAAGGTCAATGAAAACAAGGTACGTGGAGAGACCTAGAGGGTGAAACACTTACAGCATATGTATCAGGTCCAACAAAAGAGGCGTAGGGTAGACGAATACCAGGGACCAATTGTAACACCCCTATTTTCATGCCCAAATGATAATACAATAATTATGGCCCTTTAAAGTAAAACTGATAATAAATCCTCATACTTGCATTACATGATGTAAATAGTTCTCATGCGATAATACAGTTAATCCAACAACAATTAATTAAACAACAATTACCCCAAAGGGTTTACAAGTTTCCAAGGCTTAAGCCTGGTTACACAAAACGGTTATTCAAACCAAGATTTTGAAACCTGGACCGGACCGGCCGGTTCAACTGGTTGAACCAGTGATCGGGTGAGGTTCCGGTCCGGTTGACCCTCTAAAACTGGTCAAATGTAAAAACCAGTGTATTTACATAGAACCGGTGAAATCGGTGGTTCAACCGGTGAACCGTTCAAACCGGTACCGGGTTAATTGAACCGGGGCAGTTTGCTTATATATATATATATATATAAAAAAATAAATAAATTTAGATATGTTTCTGTTTTTCGTTGCTTATCTTCAGCCATCTAGGGCTTCTTCACACAGGTCTCTTCCATTCCCTTTGTTAGAACATCCGATCTATCTCTCTGTTTTTTTTTCCGCCATTAACGAATCAATCAAGTAAGGTTCTCAACTTTACACACTGATTCACCACCACTGCTACCAAGAATCTCAGCCGCCAGCAGCCTCCAGGTATTATTTTGATGAATCTTTGAATCTCCTTCTTTGTTTTTCAAAAAAATTGGGTCTACTTACAATAGATTTTCGATTTTCCTTTTCCTCTATTTTTTTCTACAGAATGAAAAATATATAGAGATTCTCACAAAAAATTTTCAGATTGAAAAATATATAGAGATTTTTTATTCTTCTATTTTCTATTTTTTTCTTCAGAATTTTTTCCCCCTTTATAGATAGATCATAGATATATAGAAAACATATTTTGAATTGAAATGGTGCACTAATTTCCCAATGTCAAACGACTACTTCTCAGTTGAGAGTGAAGACTAAAGTGAGAGAGAGGGGTATAGAGAACCAGAGAGTGCATTTGTGAAGAAACCCATCTCATTATCTTCACCCAAAAGGTATGTATTCTCATCCCTTTTAATTTATCTCTTTATCTCAAACATTTTACACCATTTTATTTTATTTATTTATTTATTTTTTGTGGCAACTCATTGTTTTACAGGTTGATATTATTGTGATATTTTCTATCAATTTCTTATTTTTCCTGCCTAAATATCTGAAGATCTCTCTCATGCTTTCACTTTGATTGAGTTTTTTATTTTACTTTAATGTCTGCATCAGATTGTGAAACGGGTCAATACCAAGTATTCTACCCAACCAATGAATCCATGGGGAGGTTTAGTAGATGCTATGGGACAACAACTAATGTATACAGTGAAAAAATGGGGGACATCTATTATAGATTAAATGAACTCTCATTAACCAACTGTCGTAAGGCAGGCTAAAGAAAACATGAATTCTCTTCAGCATAGATCGACTCGAGATAAACAGCCTATGCAAAATAATGGACAAACTAATGGTCAGGCTAGTAATCAAAATCATTAGAGGTCATCACCTGTGCCTCAATCATGGTATGAAGCTCCGTTGAAACCATTGGTAAATCAAAATGTACCATTATCTACTAGCAAAACCATACAACTTGGTGGGTTTGGGCCAAAACAAGGGAATGGCACGAGGATATTTTCAAATCCCATGTTTGAAACCATGCCTGACACACGGGTGTTCACTAATCCTATGTTTGAATGTGCAGAAAATTATGATGAATTAAATCCTTATGGTCCAGGTGGTTTTCAATTTGAGGGTGATGATGTTTACGTTAATGTTGATGATGATGATGAGGTTGTGGAAACGATTCCTCGGAACAATAAGGGCATTTCAATCAATGAAGGAGCTGGAAGTGGGAATAAGAGTAGAGCACCAATGACACAGAAAGGGAAGGGGAAGAGACATGAATCAACAAAAATCGGTGATTATTTTGCACCAAGGACCACTTTGGGTTCTCAACCAACTATCAAAAGTGCTCTCCAAACTAAAGAAGCCATACATAGAGCACATATGATTGTTGGCAAATTCTTTTATGATACTTGTATTCCAATCAATGCTGTGAACTCCATTTATTTTCAGCCCATGTTTGATGCCGCAATTGCCATTGGTCCAGGATATAAGGTCCCTACGTACCATCAACTTTGAGTTCCTTTATTGAGAGACTTAAAAAAAGAGCTTCAATTGTATATTGACACTTTGAAGAGTTCGTGGGCTGCTTGTGGATGTACTATTATGGGTGATTGTTGGACTGATGCTAGACAAAGAAATCTAATAAATTTTCTTGTCTATAGCCCTATGGGAATTGCTTTTGTGAAATCAATTGATGCCTCTGATGCTGTCAAAGATGCTACTCTTCTTTCTAAATTGTTTCTAGAGGTTATTGAGTGGGTGAGAGTGTCGAATGTTGTTCATATGGTGACAGATAATGGAGCAAATTATAAAGCTGCTGGAGGACTTGTAAATGCTACTTACAAATCTATGAATTGGTCTCCATGTGCAGCTTATTGCTTGAACTTAATCTTAAGTGAAATTTCCAAGATGAATCATGTGCATGAGCTTGCTATTAAGGCATCAACGGTGACAAGGTACATATACAACCGTTCATGGTTGTTAGCTCGGTTGAGAAAGAAGAAGAGTTGGGCTGAAATTGTACGCCCAGAAGCAACACGCTTTGCCACTACTTTCCTTGCATTGCGTAGTATTCATGAGCATATGCATGATTTGCAAGCTTTGGTGACAAGTAAGGAGTTTGCAAGTTCAAGATTTGCCAAAGAGAAGAAAGGAAAGGATGCCATTGATATCATTTTAGATAAACAATTTTGGAAGGATTGCTTCATCATTGTTAAGATTGTTGAGCCACTTATGCGTCTCTTGTGCATTGTTGATGGAGATGAGAAACCGTCCATGGGATATGTTTATGAAGGCATGTATAGGGCAATCAAAGGTGTTAAAGATATTTTCAAGAGAAATAAGAAGTTGTATAGGCCTTACACAACAATCATTAAAACTCGTTGGGATAATCAATTGCGAAAGAATATATATGCGGCTGCTTATTGGTTGAACCCAACTTTTCAATATGATCAAGCTTCATTTTGCAAAAAGCCAGAGGTTATGAATAGTGTACTTGATGTGATTGAAACTAAAGCCACATCAAGTAAAACAAAGCTCATGAATGAACTTAGATTGTTTCGAGATCGACAAGACAGTTTTGGAAGAGAGCTTGCCATTATTACATCAAAGAAAACACAACCTGGTAATCTCTCTCTTTTTTTAATAGTAATTATCATTATTATATGCTTTTGATTGGAATATTTTATCTCATTTATCTATTTCTTATTTCTTTTTATTTTTTTTTATTTTTTATTTTTTTATAATATCTTTCTTTCTTTCTTGATAATAAGATGAATGGTGGAAGATGTTTGGACACAGTGCTCCAAATTTGAAAAAGTTAGCCATTCAAATTCTTAGTCAAACTAGCAGCTCTTCTGGGTGTGAAAGGAATTGGAGCGCCTTTGAACGCATACATACAAAGAAGAGGAATAGACTAGAACATCATAGGCTTAATGATCTTGTGTATGTTCATTATAACTTGCAATTGAAGAATAGATAAATTAATCTTTCTCATATAGTAACTAATGGATTCTTTATTTTATTCGTTTATTTAGTCTTACAATTGAATCAATATAGAAAGTATTACAAAACAAGGAATTATGATCCCATTGACATTGAAAGCATTGACAAAACCGAGTTTTGGATAATTGAAGAAGAAATACTAGAACAAGAGCCTCCATTGCTCGATTATGATGAGTTCGAAAAAATGCTTTATGAAGAAGATGAGCTTCCACGATATAAAAAGCAATGTCATGGTCTACGAGATGGTTAGAAAATATTGTTTCATCATTATGCAACAAATTTTTTTTTTTTTTATCTATCATTATCAAAATGATAGCTTAATGATTTTATTTTAACTATTGTAGATGATGTTGAGGATGATATGGTGGTAGAACTTCTTAGAGATGACATCGACTTGGGATCTTTTGGTGACGTGAACATTGATAATAGATCAAACAATCTGAGCTCTAGTGCAAATGCGAATGAGAATGATGATGATGATTGGCTAAATTATCGTCCCTAAGAAATTTAGGCAACAATCAAAGATTGTTTGTGATGTTATGTTGTGTTGTCTGTAACCTTTGGACTTAGTTTTGTCTTTTTTGTAACTTATGTTTTGTGGATTGCTTTTGTTGGATGCTTTCATAATTTTTATTACTATGATTGTTGTTTTTAATGGCTAAATTTTCATCTTTAATTTTATTTGTTGTTAGATGTAAAGTGTTATGGCTTATATTCAGGAATTTTTTTTTTAATTATAGAAAAACATCACTAAAAATATTTAAGAATTTTTAAAAAAAAAAATTGAAAATTTAATATTAAATTATTAATTTATATTTTTTAAAAAATTATTTATGACATAATTATGACGTCACGGTTCGATCCGGTTCAACCCACCGGTTGAACCGGTGACCCGTCCACCCGATCATTTTTCCGGTTCGTTCACCGGTCCGGTTTTTAAAACCTTGCGTGCAACCCACACATACAAAGCCCTTGGCTTACAATCAGAGTCACAGCAAATGAGCACATTATGCTCTCTGCACACACTTCCACGCCTTCACCCAACACACATACTTCCACGCCTTCAGTTAGGCAGAATCACCACATCTTTTCCTGCATAAAAATCCCGTAGGGTGAGCATAAAGCCAAGTAGGAAATTCTTAACAAAGTATATACATTTTATACAAGTCTCGTGAGATGGAATGCTTATGCCATGCCATGCCTTTTTTAAAGTAAAACACACATTCATCTTTTGAAAAGCGTCATGCTCAATGATGTCATACAATTTTAGCTGCTCAACATTTATCAAATTTTATTCAAGAGGCGGTAAATACAACTTCGTAAATCCCTAGGTCGGTGTTTGCAAGTAGACTATACAAGTACTACCAATTTGTCATTTTTACCGGTATTAACCGGAAGGCTTGACACCTCTAATCTGTCATTTTTACCAGTATTAATTGGAAGGCTCGACACCTATAATCTACACCACCTTTCAAGACTTACCAACGTATTTACCCCAAAACCATTTCATGAAAACTTGTTTCTCAACATTCTTTTCTAAATGCAAAGCTTTCAAATCAAACTTCAAAGCTCTTCATTATCAAATAAATTGATATGCCAATGCAATGATTAATAATGCAATACAATATTTCTTCCACTTTCAATACTCCCACACAATATTCCCATTGTGATCAAAATTCTCATTTCTCACTTCAATGCAATTTCACAAGATGAATAAATACTTTTATTTCAATTCATCTTAGGGATAACAAAATTCCCGCATTTCAAGCATTTCCAAATTCCCATTGTGATCAAAATTCTCATTTCTCACTTCAATGCAATTTCACAAGATGAATAAATACTTTTATTTCAATTCATCTTAGGGATAACAAAATTCCCACATTTCAAGAATTTCCAACAACTTGGTCATTTCAAGACTACATCAACACTTTTAAACAACAATTTCCAAAACTTCAACAATTATCTTATTCCATGGAAAACCATCATTTATATGTAATAAATAAACAATTTTCAAACATCATTTATTTCGGCACACAAAATAAATATAACAACATATTCTAAAGATTGTCAACATCTTTCTCAAAATATCCCCAATATCTAGGTTTTCTCACCAAAAACCATTCAACTTCAAATATTTGAGAAGATCTCACCAAAAACATCTTTCTTTCATCAACATAGTTCAAAAACCCTCAATTTCTATTTTTAGAAGGAAAATAAGGTAATCCCACTTTCAAAATCACTCATCTTCTTAAATCAACAATCAATTTTCAAAACTAATCAAATGATGATTTCGAAAATCATCTAGATCTTGCAAAAACATATATATAACTTAAAGAAAATCCTACCTCAAGCTTAGAAAAGAAGATAAGCAAAACAAGGTTGAAACTCCAAAGTTGTCGAAACTAACTTCTACTTGGATCAAAATGAAGCTCTTGATAAGCTCTACACTTAATCTCAAAGGAGCAAGGCAAGAAGATGTTTCCAAGTGAGTAGATCTAAAGATCTTTGAGCAACAAGTGATTTTGGAGAGGGAGAGAGTGACTCACGGTTTGGAGAGGGAAAAAGAGAAGAAAAAGTAAATAAAATGTTAAGTGAGGGACCTATTTATGGTGCTAGGTCAAAGTAAAATAAAATCACAAAGTCAACCCAAAAAATCAAGTCAAAATCCCCAAAAAGTAGGCCCAAACCTGATTGAAATCTGGAAAAAAAAGTCTGCAGGAGTCGACCCTTGCAACACAGGGGTCGACCCTTGCAACACAGGGGTCGACCCTATGAAGAAACTTATGTTTGACAGCATGCAAGGGGGTCGACCCTTAGACAGGAGGGGGTCGACCCTATTTTCCAGCAACTAACACACAGACATAAGAGGGTCGACCCTCCCCTGACTGCTGTCTACTCTATTTTCCAGCAACACTTTCAGAAACTTCACCAACAGGTAAGGGTCGACCCTTAGGAAGGCTGGTGTCGACCCTATAATAGAATTTCTATGTCTCCAAGGAACTTTTGACAAGAATAAGTGCGAACAACCAAACCCAACAAGTTTAAATCAGATTATACTCCTCCAAAACCAACCCATAACAACACCAAAGATTTCCAAAATAAAAATAAATGATTCGAATACACTTTCCCAAAAGCTTTGAAGGCACAAATGCTACAACACGTGTCCTTTACTGAAGCCGACCTAGACATGGTGCAACATCCACACAACGATACGCTGGTGATATCCCTCAAGATTGGAGAATGCCAGGTAAAGCATATTCTAATAGACCAAGGCAGCTCTTGTGACATCATGTATGCCAGATGTTACAAGGCGCTCGGCCTCCACCAAGATGATTTGGAACAGTCCAACAGTCTAATGGTCGGGTTCAATGGAACGCCGATGTAGCCGTTGGGAGCAGTAAGTTTGGAGGTGCAGGCAGACACTAAAAAGTTAAGTACAGAGTTCACAGTAATTAATACCCCCTCCCCTTACAATGTTATCTTGGAGAGGCCATGGTTGCACGCAATGAGGGATGTTCCCTCAACACTGCACCAGCTATTGCGGTTCCCAACAGAGCATGGAATTGAAGAAATCAGAGAGGATCGAGTGCAGGCAAAGAATTTCTCCATGACAGCAATGAAATCCACTTGCAACGTATAAGAAGCAGAAACAGTAGAGATTGAGGACGAGAAAAGCGAGGAAGCCTTAAATAAGATCCTGTTCCAACAAGGGGATGAAGAACGATTCTTCCTTCTCGGCTCAGGTTTGGCCAATGAGGAGGAAAGGGAGTTAGAAGCATTCTTACGAGCAAACATTGAGGTGTTTTCCTGGATGCCATACGAGATGCCTGGCATTGACCCCGAGGTCACTTGCCACAGATTAAATGTGGACAAGTCGGCTAAACCTGTCATCTAACGAGCAAGAAGGCCAACGTTGATGCATGTTGAGGCAGTAGAAAAGGAGGTAGATAAATTACTGGAAGCCAGAGCCATTCGAGAGGTAAACTACCTAACTTGGTTGTCAAACACGGTTGTTGTGAAGAAGAAGAATGGGAAGTGGAGGGTTTGCGTGGACTTCACTAGCCTGAATAAAGCTTGTCCCAAAGACAGTTTCTCACTCTCCAAAATTGATTAATTGGTGGATGCCACTTCAGGGCATGAAAGGATTAGCTTCTTGGACGCATACAGGGAGTACCATCAGATAACATTGTATCCCCTGATGACGAGAAGACTGTATTTATCACCCTAAAAGGGCTGTATTACTACAGAGTGATGCCTTTCGGGTTAAAAAATGCAGGAGCAACCTACCAGAGGTTGGTGACCAAGATGTTCAGACATCTAAATGGCAAAATAGTGGACGTATATATTGATGATATTGTCGTGAAGACCAAAGAACTTGAGAATCACCTGGCTGACCTAAAGGTACTTTTCGACATTCTTAGAACATATTGGCTCCAACTCAATGCTTCGAAATGTGCATTTGGAGTTGGGTCAGGTAAGTTCTTAGTCTAATTGGTTACCAGAAGGGGCATTAAGGCGAGTCCAGATCAAATCAAGGCCATCCTGGACTTGAAAAGCCTAACATCGGCAAAACAAGTACAGATGTTGACTGGAAGGGCCGCAGCCCTGAATAGGTTTATAAGCAGAAGTTCAGACAAATGTAAACCATTTTTCAGTTTAGTGAAGTCGGCCACAAATTTTTTGTGGACAGAAGATTGCGAAATCGCCTTAGCGGACTTGAAAAAATACCTGACCACAGCTTCGGTTCTCTCAAATCCTGTACCTGGAGAGAAACTTTTCTTATACTTGGCAATTTCGAAGCATGCAGTGAGTGCAGTGGTAATTAGAGAAGAGAAGGGGGAACAAAGGGTAGTTTACTATGTGAGTAAAACCCTAGCGAGCGCAGAGGTCAGGTACTTACCCCTGGAGAAATTGACAATTGCGTCATTAACAGCTTCTAAAAAGTTAAATCATTACTTCCAAGCCCACAAGATCATGGTATTAACTGAGCACCCCTTGAAGTCCCTATTACAACAAGGAGATCTGACAGGCAGGGTAGCCAAATAGGCAGTGGTGTTGAGCCAGTACGATTTAGAGTTCAGACCCAAAACGACAATCAAAGGCCAGGTTCTAGCCGACTTTGTGGCCGAGTTCACACCTAGAGCCATCCCCCGTCGAGCTCCCGTGAGCCGCGGTTTAGAATGTCCAGGGGAGCAAGAAGAGACCCAGCTGGGAATGAAAAACCCCATAGCAGAGAGGAAGAAAGAAGAGAAACTCAAGCCGTGTGATATTTATATTGGTGATTCCTGTAACACCCTCAAAAATTGGGTAGGGTATATCTATTTATACAACAAATCCACCTGATAAACAAACACATATATCTGGTTAACTATTCCATGCATCCATTTCCGTTAAATCCCAAATGCTAAATACATGCTATTCATATCTCAATGCCCCAGTTCTAATCCCAAGCATACATTTTACAACAAGTATGGAGTGGAAGCCCAACAGATAATAGGTGCC